ACCTTTTCTTAAAATGTAGATTTGGTTTTCCAAACTTAGTATTTTTCAGACTCTTTCTCTCACTAGAATTAAGAGGACAGTCCCCCCAACCCCCAATTTCTAAGGGGAAAACGGCATAATATATACTAAATTGAGGATTCACCTTGATGGCATTTGACATGAGTGTTTTAGACTGCAATTAATGTTTCTGTAAAGCAAATCAGGCAAGCAGCCCAGCATTTATTATCCTTCAGCAAGTAGCCCGAGGACTTCCTGTAGAACAGGTATATAGGAGTACGGGGTCTGGGAAAGGACACAAAGGAACATGTGTTGAAAGAATTCCTATTATCTCAAGCCATCTTGTTAAAATGGCTTCAGCTCGACAATGAGATTCTTGGTAGGTGTTTGTTCAAAGGCCTAAAACATTATGCATGTGGGATTTTTGAAAAGTATTATCAATAGTTGAGAAGGTGCTAAACATTGCAGAATCTTCAAATGACTGCCTTGAGCTCTCAACTACCATGGGAGTGCCAACTCCTCAGGAGTCTCATTCTTTTTCCTTGGAAATTTCCTCTTCCTATTACAGAACTCTAAATAAAGGGCCTGTCTGAGCAGGAGAAATGAATTGAGTGAATAGAATGGATAGTCCTATCTGGCTCCTGCACTTAAGGAAGTTGAATGTTAACTAAGAATCCACCCCTCTCCCTTTCCTCATCAGAAAAGTAGAAGTGGATGATTAAGATGAGACCATTGGTAAAACCAAATGGGGCTGGATGGAAAAGGTGAAGAGATTTTACAAACAAACAAACAATTTATAGGCAGTCATAAGTAGTATGATTGCCAGAGGGAAAGGGGAAGGTGGGGTAGGTAGAAAGAAGGTAAATGGAGGATAAATGGTGATGGAAGGAAAACTGACTTGGGGTGATGAACACAATATAATAAGATGATATATTATAGAATTGTACCCCTGAAACCTATATAATTTTATTAATCAATGTCACCTCAATAAATTCAACTAAAATTAAAAACACACACCCTGCTGTTCATGAAAACAGATGACCTCTTGAATTTCATTGTATGACATAGGGACTAAAATGTGAGAAAAGGAGATTATGGATGTTAGCATACTCAGGACTTTGTTGACTATAAAAAGATAAGCCAGTCTAACTTCTCTCAGTTCTTTTCCGGTATGATAAAAACTCCCTCTTAGACTTACCTAGTCAGGATTTCAACTAGGGCAAATGTGCATTGGACATCAATGATACAAGCATTAGGCCTGGGTGTTCAAGATGAATGTGATCCAGCCCCTGCGCTGGAGAGTACTCCATCGCATAGAAAATAGCCCTTGTTAATGCCGATCTTATGTACCAAAGTATTTTTTTTTTTTGGTGATAATATTTGAGGCCCAGTGATCAAAAATACCTTCTTTATTGAAATTCTCACATAACTCATCCTCTGTGAGGCCAGACTTGTGTTAAAAAGGCATGGCTGTCCATACAGTGGGAAAAAACAAATTTTATATGGACTATATAGATCTAAATGTGAAACTATAAGGATTCTAGGGGGAAACATAAATATCTTAATGACTTTAGGGCAGGCAAAGATTTCTCAAACAGGACACAAAATATGCTAACCTTAGATGGAAAAACAATGGGCAAATTAGGCTACATTAAAATGAAAGAATTTTAGTTCATCACATGATACCATTAATAAAATTAGTATGCAATGGGAGAAGATTTTGCAATGTAAATATTCAACAAAGGACTTGTGCTGATAAAATTGATAAAAGGTAGATTACCCAATAAAAATATGGGAAATAGACTTTAGTAAGGTAAAGACATTGATTAAGAGGATGTTGGTTGTCTTGATTGGAGTTAGTGACTGGAAGGGAGCACAAGAGGCTTCTGAGGTTCTGGTCATAATGCTGGTTATGTGGGTGTGTTTACTTTGTGGAAGTCCTGCAAATTATGTACTTTTCTGTCATTTCATCGGAAATGTTTACATAAAAAAGAAAATGCCTTGTTTCCAGGAGGAACAAAATATTCTCAGAGGTTACCACTGACTGCAAAAAATATCCCTCCGCATGGAGCATTGTCTCCATTGTGAAAGCAAAGGAAGTGTTGAGAGCATGCGCTTTGCAAGGTGGCCAGGGCAGGTCCAATTTGTGGAATCATCCCACACTCGGGATGGCTACGGTACCCTAAGTAAGGAGGAGGAAGACCATTTATGGAGGAAGCACTAGAAATAAGATTGATTGCTTTACAATTTGGGGCATGGCTGACTCAGCCTGTAATCCTGTTTAAGTCACCACTGATGGATCACCTACCATGTGTTTGGGTTTTGAAACAGGCACTTTCTGCGCATTAAAAGGTTTGTTCCTTACCACAACTCTGGGAGGTAGGAACTATGCTTCATCCTTGATAGATGAAGAAACTGAGACTTAGATTAAAGAACCTGCTCAAGTTCTAGCTGGAACGTGCCAGCAAGCTGCATCTGGAACCCATGTCTGTGTCATTTGAAAGTTCACCCCCTTGCCCTAATCAGTTTGGCTCAGTGGATAGAGTGTCAGTCTGCGGACTAAAGGGTCCTAGGTTCAATTCTGGTCAAGGGCATGTATCTTGGTTGTGGGCACATCCCCAGTAGGGGTGTGCAGGAGGCAGTTAATTGATGTTTCTCTCTCATCGATCTTTCTCTCTCCCTCTCCCTTCCTCTCTGTAAAAAAAAAAATTAAAAAAAAATCAATAAAATATTAAAAAAAAGAAAGCTCACCCTCTATATATCTATTATGCTGCCTTTAAAAATTGTATTTGATTCAGCATAATGAAAAGAAAAAAAATACTTACGTAATATATGTAATGTTCACATTTGATGACCAGAAACACTTTGAAATCAACTTTAAAGTCTGAGATTTACTGTACTACAGATTTTTTGATGAACTGGAATTTTTCTTTTCTGTTGTAACATGGTTAGGAATAACTGGATATGGGGTGGATGGAGCACTGAGAAATCTTCCAGGAAACAAGTCAAATTGTTATAGGAATGCCCTTGTATGGGTGACCCACCAGCCCTTCTCTGTGCATTAGGGACATTTTAATAATCTGAGCAACTGCCTTTGATAGGCATACTTTGTTTTTTGCTTATTAATGACTTCCTAGGCTAGATTTTATTTCTCTTACCACTAATTTCAGATATAGAGATAGATTAAATGGATGCTGCTAACTGATTGCCACATCACTGTCTGCATATAAATGCTCTCCTGCCTGCTTGGGTATGAAGAGAAAGAGAAGAGAAGGGAAAGGGTAAGCCAGATATTTGTAGTAGCTGAATTTGTTTTAAAAGACAAATTCTGGAACAGAATTTTGACAGATACAAATTATTGATATTTGTGCATGGTTAGCATTTTGGGATTTCCCTACTTAGCATATACATGTTTTTTCCCCTTCTTCTGGTACAGAATGGCTTTTTGTCCACTCAGGTAGATATATAATACTTTGAGTTCTTTTGCTGCTGTGGTTTGTTTTTGGTTTTCAGGGCTATCATGTTTGCAGCCTATGGAGTGTCGATAGCATTAGAATAATATCACATCTCTAAATTTGGAGATGTGAAATTATTCCAAATGTGTCTCCCCAACAATTCAGTCAATGGCCGTGGAAGCAATGTGGCAGAAAGGCACATGATCTGATTTGAATGGAAATATATGTGGGTATGGTTTTAAAGCTTTCTGTTTACTAAAACCCTCCAAAAAACTCCTTTCTTTATCCTTGAAGCTAGTTATTCCACTTCTATTGCTGTGTAATACACAAGAAAGAAGCACTGTACAAGTTGAAATAATTGAAAACACCCACATCCAACTCAATTTATTTTATTTGAATCTGTCTAGTTACATGGACTTGTTTGACGTACTGCAGATGCTTAAAAAACCTGGACAGGAGCTCTGGATTGCTTTTCTCTTAATTTTGAAATGTAGAACTTTAGTTTAGAAGTCGATTCCTCTTTAGAGAATATGTAATTATTTATTAATTTGATTAGCACTGTACATTGTGCTTTGAAGCAATTCAGAGTACTGTAGGAACATCTGTTGTAACGTCATTTGGAGGATTCTACATTTCAGAAATAACCCCCAAATGCTTTGATAATACCAGTTTGACATCGATCAATGGGGGCAGTGCCACGGTGCTGCATAGGGATTCTTTGTGTTGGTAAATGGATGCTCTCAAGTATAACTAAGGTGGTCTTTTTGAGGGAGGGTAGCTTTTTATTGAATTTTAGTTTTCCTCCTTCCTTGAAATAGTGACAACTGTCATTTTCCTCCTTCAAACAATAACATCAGTGATTTTGTACATAGGAAATCATTTTCCAGGCAGGCTTATGTCTATGCTGGCAACCATTTTATACACATGGTCTCACTTAAATGGCCAGGACTTCAAATGTGTAAATGGGCAAGTTTTTAGGCAATCTGGTTAGGCTTTCCAATCTCGCCTCTCCATTTCCTGTCTAAACAACTTCTTCCATGTCCACAGCATGTTTATACAACATTGAATAAAACTTCTAATGGGAAATTTCTTCCAGGTGACCTCCCTGAGAGGCTGGACTGTGGAGAAACCTTAAGAAACCTGACCCTGACGAAATTGCCTCCGTTGAGAATATTACTCGGTGCAGAAACAAGGAACAGAATTTAGTTATTTTTGGTTCTTGAATAAATGAATTCTGTTCCCTTTTGTGTAGGTGGCAGAAAACATTAACCCCTGCAGAAGGTCCCATCTCAGTTGGAAATTGAACTTTTGGTTTCTTTGAATTAGTAGAACCTTTGAGAAAAGAATGTTAAATTGTTTTTATTTGAACTTCAAGCAAGTTGGAATCGGCTCTGCTGTCTGCATATCTTTTATAGAAGTGTCGTTTCTAGGGTTGTCTGTCTTTACATACAATTTTCTGGAGGTAGAGACTATGATTAGCAAATGACCTTCCACTCAGCACCTCATGTGGGTGGATACTAATAAATCCTTTCTTAACCTTCCTTCTAGCACTTTTGGAGAAATCAATCAGTAGAAGGCGGGACACCGAAGCCATACAGAAAGCCAAAATCCTTTATTCATCGTGCATGAATGAGAGTGAGTAATAAAGAAATAAAGAAAAATTAACAAAATATTTACCACCCCTATTCTTCAGAGTTCTTTTAATGTTTAAGGAAAGGAACAACTCTCAAAAACTGGGTTTTGATTAGCCCTGCCCTGTCTTAATGTTCTTTTGCTGGTTTGATGGAGAAAATAATTCTATTTCTATGGCTAGTATTCTTTAGGTGTCCGTTACTCCATGAGAAATTTGGGTGGGATCAGAGGGCAAACACCACTATATGTGGTACAGAAACAAGAATCTAGAGGGCAGGTCTGGTCTAGAAGGAACCTTGGAGGGAGAGCGCTTGGAAGTGTTGCTAGTCCCCTAAGGACCTCCTGGGGCCTAGACAAATCCAGATTCCCAGGCAGGCCAGGCTCCTCCTGCTTCTCCATCAGCCTAAGAGTAATCTTTGTTGGTTGTCTTAAACATGTCTCCATATCTTGGGTCTGATGGGAGTTAAAAGAGATACATCATTTTATCTCGTCTGCCCTTTCAAGGCCATTGCAGAAAGAAGCCAGTGCTTCTGGGAAGTGTGTTAACTTGTTTAGGATTTTCGGTTAGCTAGAAGAGAGCAGTAAAAGATGATGAAAGAGTCTGCAGCATTTGTTCACTTTTATTGGGGTGTGATTGGTTTTATTGAACAGTTTCCTTTACGTAGGATTGTTTCTTAGCATTGCACAGTATTATCAGCCTAACATAGCCCATTGCCTGGGGTCAGTGTAGTAAGCCCATCTTTTATTGTAAGGAATATCCAGCTCTGTAGTTCCCTAGTCAGCTCTCCTGGCAAGAACACTCAGTTTAGACAGTTACATTGCAGTGTGAGTCATAAGTAGCTCTGTCTCTGGTTATCTTCAGTCTATGGCACCTCTCCATAACAGCTGAAATGTTAAATTGGAGCCTTATGAGAATTTTCTCTTGAGAAGATACCTTGGCATTCTAGCTTGGAAATCCAGTTTGCAACTCTAACTCTCCCTTAATATGGTTCCCTTTCAGAAGCGATCGAAAAGGCAGATGCCAAGCCATTGCTACACATCCTGCAGCACTCACCTTTTCGCTGGCCCGTGCTCGAGTCTAACATCGGTCCTGAAGGGGTTTGGTCAGAGAGGAAGTTCAGCCTTCTTCAGACACTTGCAACGTTTCGTGGTCAATACAGCAATTCTGTATTTATCCGTTTGTACGTGTCCCCCGACGACAAGGCATCCAATGAACACATCTTGAAGGTATGGTGAAGACTCGGTCATCCTGTTTGTTCAGTCCAAGGTTAGCTTTTTGGGGTGCTTCCTAGGGAAAGAGACTCATACCACCTTAGTGAAATGATAAGGAAAAAATTATGTTAAACATTAGGATCTAGGGTATTACCCCCTTCACAGATGTGCGGACCGTAAATCATGAACAAACCAGTTTGATCAGCCTTTTAAGAAGCTAGTGAGCAAGTTAATTTCATGTGATTTGGCCCTCAGTATCTACTCTAAGCATGTGTGGGTCCCTAAATTCCAGTGGGAAGAGAGCTGCAAAGACTTTATTTTTTCCATTTAACATGTTCTTTTTTATTTTTCAATTATAGTTGACATTCAGTATTATTTTGTATTAGTTTCAGGTGACCAGCATAGTGGTGAGACACATATAATTTGTGAACTGATCCCTCAATAAGTCTAGTACCCACTCTGCACCATCCATACTTAATATGATATTATTGTGCAGACTTTCTGAACTCTCTTCTTCCCCTCACCTTCTCATTCCCCTGACTAAGGAGAGAACACATGTCATGATTCTTTGTTCCTCCATCACTAAAGTCATCTTGCGTATATGCCTAAAATTTCATTGTCAAGTTCAATCTGAATCTCTCCCTTTCCTTTCATAAGATAAACTGAGACTTGTTCCAAGTGCTTGGCTTGCATTTTCCATTGGGAGAGTAAGCATCCCTTCTCTTCCAAGGAATAGGCCGCACAGATATACCTTGACCCAGATTATTACATTGGTAAAATCAGGAGACTACCAACAATGAAAGATTCATCAATGAAAGAGCTTGACAAGACTTCAAATAACATTTCTCAAAATGTTTGTGCTTTGATTCTACCATATTTTGCTTCCTCGGTTACTTTGACTAATAATGAAAATTTTATTGAGCTACTCCTTCCCGCCTCCTAGTTCTGTCCTTTGTTGAGCTAGAAAATATTAACGATATATTGATATTCAAATCATAGAAGTATAAAACTTTTATTTTTATTATTTTTTAAAATATATTTTATTTATTTTTTACAGAGAGGAAGAGAGAGGCATAGAGAGTTAGAAACATTGATGAGAGAGAATCATCAATCAGTTGCCTCTTGCACACCCCCTACTGGGGATGTGCCTGCAACCAAGGTACATGCCCTTGACCGGAATCGAACCTGGGACCTTTCAGTCAGCAGGCCGACGCTCTATCCACCAGTTTCGGCAGAAGTATAAAACTTTTAGAGTGTGATACCATTTCCTAATTTATTAAAAATTTAAAATCCACACTCTGGAATTAATTTGTTTTATTTTTTGTTAATCCTCACCCAAGGATATTTTCCCATTGATTTTAGAGAGTGGAAGGGAGGGGGAGAGACACAGAGAAAGAGGCATTGATGTGAGAGAAGACACTCTATCCACTGAGCTAGGGCTAGAGTTTATTTATTTATTTATTTTTTGATTTATACCAAGCAGCTGGCAAATTTTTTTCTGGAAAGAATCGGATGTAAATATTTTGGGCTGTGTGAGCCATATGATCTTTGTCTCAACTGCTCAACTCTGCTGTTGTACCTGGGAAAGCAGAGGTAGACATGAGTGGGTGTGTGGCTGGTTGGCCTACAGGCTGTAGTTTGCCCATCTCTAGGTTAGACAGTGGAAGTCTCAATAAAAATCTTTAGACACTGAAAGAATTCCCATCTACTCAAGAGAAAATTCTTAGTTCCAGTGACAGCTGTTACTTCCATGGTGGGTGATAAACAACATGGCACTGACAATATTCTAATGCTACCAGGACAAGACATGCTGTGCAAGACACAATGATGGTAATGGTCCAATTGACCTCTGCCTTGGACAACAGGCTGATGCTCCCCACCCATGTCTTAAAGCATGACCAGGCAACTGGTCAGAACCATTGGGAGAGTATTTCTCTTTAATTCTTGTAACCAACATAACACTCAGATTTTAAATTCAGGTATGTGAGACATGGACATTTTCTTTAGTCAATTTCATCACTGACTGAGCTCCCACCCCAACTTGTAGTGGGAAATTGAACCAGTCTAGACATTTCCCTGCCTCCTGGTTGCCCCATTTCTCAGTTACCTGTTTCAGAAAATAAACCCACTATCTCAGCCCATGTTGCCCTTCAAGTGTATGTCTCTGCATTTGGGACCCTGGACCCTCACTCCCTTTCATATCCTGCCACTTTCTAGGGACATTGATTGGTCCCTCTGCTCAGGAGACATTTTGACTTCTTTGGCTACCTAGGAGAACTTTTTGCTCTGGGAGAAGTCTCTCTTACCTCAAACCATCCTCCCTCAATGTACTTAGACTTCCTTTTCCCCTGTGGTGAGATGGTGCAGGATTTATCACAAGCTTAAATGGCAGAAACTTAAAGAAAACTACAGAGTTGATGCCCCAAATTCTTGTTACATGTTTTTGGGCTTATTTATGTAAGTAGATAACAAGAACGAGGATTTAAGGGTTGGTGAAATACTTGAATATATGTTATCCTGAGTGTGTGGAAGGCCAGGGTTGTCTCATTAGTATGTGTTACTGAAACAGTGACTTCAAGTCATCATCACTCAGTGGCCTGCTTTTGTCTGACTCCTAGCAAAATCCAAAAGGATGACAAAGACACCCTGTCTTAGAAATTATGTTTTTCTCATTTCTTTGTCTGTCCTTTTCCTATATCATAATTTGTCAGATGATTCTTTTTTTTTTTATTATTACTTTGTTTCCTAACATGAGGTTTATTGCAGTTGGAGAAAAAAAAATCATATTTCAGTTCAATATATTGGGTTTCTTAAACAGATATTTTATTTTCAACTTGCAATATTCAGACACAAGAATTAAAAAACAAACAAACCTCAAATAACAGTGTCCTAATGTTGGTCTCTTGAGAAAGTCTTTTGCCTCAAAACTTTGTATGCTCCTAATGAGATTTAGTTGACAGACCTTATTTAATCTGTTTTGTGTATTTAAAAGGTTCCCTAGAAACCATAACAATGTGACAGTTTAAAAAAGGTCAGGTAACTTCATTTGAATCTTTGAAACTTTTACAATAAGTGGATTAAACTTCATTTCATCAGAGGGAAGCTTTGGCTCTCTTAATGTTGTCTATTCAATTTCCTTTCCTATGAGACTGAAGATGAAAAGATTCTCAAAGTGGTCCAAAACTAATTGAAAACCAAAACATCTTAATCATAATATTGTGTTTTGTGGTTCTGGCTTACTTAATTTTTGGAAGAAACAGTGGTAGATTGGGAATTGCATTCTGATGAAGCCAGGATGGCCTGTGATTTGGTTGTTTTGGACCAATTAGAGAAAAAGATCGAACACAATAATTTGAGGGTTTTAGTAATACACCCAAAGTGAATGTTATGGAAACATTTCCCTCCCTCTTCCCCTTGAAACAAGGGCAATATTTTTCTTAAAAATTTCATGACTTTGCTAACTCTTATCTTGGCCTTCGTAGAATTTGTTGCTTATGAAGAAGATTTTCATGGAAAACCATGACCCTATACATAGAGAATATTTAAGATTATAGTAAAATGAAGAAGAAAATAGAGATAGATCCAAGCAAATTTAGCATTGTATAAACTAATGATATAGGAATATGGGATCCAGTTTTTATTAAGGTGCTATTCATTTTTTATTTTATTTTTTAAAGATTTTATATCCTGTTAATTTGACCTAACATTGTTATGTCTGAATGAAGTTTAAATGAGAAAATCTGCTGTTGGGATCCACATAATCTAGTCTTTAGGTAGTTGTTGACATTCAAGAAAAAAAAATGACCATAGATTTAATGAAAGTTCTTTTTAATACTTCATTTTTAATTTACATGCCATTAAATTCATTTTTTTTGTGATGCATTTGTCTATAAGTTTTGACAAATGCAGACTCATGTAATCACCATCATAATTAAGAAATAGAATAGGCTGAAACCAGTTTGGCTCAGTAGATAGAGCATTGGCCTGCAGACTGAAAGGTCCCAGGTTCGATTCCATTCAAGGGCATATGCATTGGCTGCGGGCACATCCCAGTGGGGGGTGTGCAGGAGGCAGCTAGTTGATATTTCTCTCATTGATGTTTCTAGCTCTCTCTCAACTCTCCTTTCCTCTCAGTAAAAAAAAAAATCAATAAAATTATATATATAAAAAAGAAAAAAAAAGAAATAGAATAGTTCCATCACCCCCACCCAAAATTATCTCATGTTGCCCATTTGTAGTCAACCAGTTTCCTCGTCCCCAAAGCCCGTTCTCTGCCCCTGTAGTTTTATCTTTTTCAGAATGTGATTACAGTTTTCACATGTTAAGGCATGAATGAGTAGTTCATTCCTTTTTATGGCTGAGTAGAATTCTATTGTGAGTCATAGTTTGTTTAGCCATTCACTAGTTGAACAACATTTGGGTTGTGTATTGTTTTTAGTGATTATGAATAAAGTTACATGCAGGTTTTTGTGTGGGCATAAGTTTTCATTTCTCTTGGGTAAATACCTATGAGTAGGATTGCTGGGTCATCTGTAAGTATATGTTGAACATTACTAATATAAGAAACTGTCAAATTGGTTTCCAAAGTTGCGCTGCCATTTTGCATACCCATCAACAATGTATGAGTGATCTAGTTTTTCTGAATCTTCACTTGAACTTAGTGTTATATATTTTTTGCCATTCTCATAGATACGTAGTTGTGTTTTATTGTGGGTTTAATTTATATTTTATATTTTCCTAATGACCAGTGATGTTGAGCATCTTTTCATGAGTTTATTTTCTGTCTGCATATCTTAATGGGTGAAGTGTCTGTTCAGATCTTTTGCCCACTTTTAAATTGGGTTGTTGTTTTCTTATTGTTGAGTTTTGAGGGCTCTTTATATATTCTAGATATATATCCTTGTCATTTAAAGGGTGGGGTAAAAGTAGGTTTATAGTTATGAATATGCAAAACAGTTTATTCTTGTGTTATTATTTGTTACTAGTGTCCCAGTGCACGGATTCATGCACATTGAAAGGAAATTAATTAGAAGGTGGCCAGTGGGGTGGGACTGGGCAAGATGAGCTGGACACGCCCTGGAGCCAACCTCCCTAGCTGGCCGCACCTGGGGTGGCACTACGGCTCGAAGGGCATCTGCACAGTGAGCGGGGTCCCTCCAGTAGGTGGGGTCCCTTGGTCTGGCCTGTGGGGATTGGGCCGAAACCAGCAGTCCGACATCCCCTGAGGGGTCCTGGAGTGCAAGAGGGCACTCTGCAAAGTTGCTGTGGTACAGGGTGTGGAACGCAAACACAAGTGTGCAGTAAACTTGATTTGGGGCGACAGTGCCCTGCAGTGACATAACCCATGGCCAAAGGTGGAATCCTGCAGCCCTGCCAGGAATCAGGCTCCCTCCTCTCTGGTTTTGGGTGCATCACTGAGAACCGCAGCTGCCAAGTCACTGCAGCTTGGCAGCTCCTGCATTGAGTATCTGCCCTCTGGTGGTCAGTGCCCATCATATTTACTGGCCGGTTGGATGGTTGCTTTGCCTTTTATATATATAAGTTATTGTATTTTCCATTTGAACAACTGTAAACCCATTTTTAAATATTTTCTCGGCCTGTAGTTTGTCTTTTTGTTCTCTTTCACAGAGCAGTACTTTTTAATGTTGATGAAGTCTAATTTTTTTTTTTTTTTTATGGGTTGCAATTTTGGTGTCACGTCTAAGAATTCTTTGTCTAACCTCAGGTCACAAGATTTTCCCTTCTAGAAGTTTATAGTTTTTAGGTTTGACATTTAGTCTATGATTCATTTTGAATTAATTTTTGAGCTATGGGTGGAGGTTCATTTTTTTTCTTCTGCATATGGATGTTGAGTTATTCTAGCATGTTCTTGGAGAGAACTATTTCTTCCCTTTGATCACCTTTAAAGTGCTGAAAGTTTTAACTGCAATGATTATGCTATACTTTTCCATAATAATTCTAGTTATTGTGTTTTCTATTATTTGTATTTTTTTTTATCGCCTATCCTAACTTTCCAGGGAGGGTTCTAAATTTGTTAAGATTTCTCAAAATTATCATTTAAATCAATCCAACACAGTATTTTAGGGGTGGGGAAGTGGACAGTTTGTTCAATCCAGATGAGCATTTTGCAGAATACTGCAGTGAGAAGAGTACTGGATCTGGCAACAAGAGACAGTGATTCTCTGAGCTTTGCCCAACCATGTGACCTTGGAAAAGTCACGTCACTTCTCTGGCTTTTGTCTCCACCCATCAAGTAAGGGGGAAAATCAGATAACCTCCAAGAACTATTCCCACTCAAATATCTTGGATCTTATTTACTATTAATATAACTTGAAAGGGGTAGAAGCCATGAATTGGGGAAGCAGAGGTAGGTCTCTGGAACTTTATAATAGCTATCATTGCTGAAGTGTCTGTTTGCAGGTAGAGCTGAGTGTAATGAGTTGTTGTTGTATGGTAACACAAGCTCAGAATATGACTTGGATTCTGATCTATGACTCTTGTTAACATGGTACTTAAGAATTTACAGTGCAAGCAAAATATTTTGTTTTTATTTTAACAGCTGGACCAAGCAACGCTCTCCCTAGCTGTGAGGGAAGACTACCTTGACAATAGCACAGAAGCCAAGTCTGTAAGTTTTATATTTCAACTCTGCACCTTGTCAGGCTGTTGATGGGTTCATAAATTGTTCTAGAATTTCTGACTCTACTGGAAATGAGCAGGGTGGCATTCTTTTTTTTTTTTTTAATTGTTTAATTTTTATTTTATTTTATTTTTTTAGAGAGAGAGAGAGAGAGTGGAAGAGAGACTGGAAGAGAGAGGGAAAAACAGAGAGAAATATCGATGTGAGAGAAACACATCGATTGGTTGCCTCCTGCACGAGCCCCGATCAGGCCCCGGGCCGGGGTGGAGCCTGCAACCTAGATACTTGTCCTTTTTTTAAAAAAAAAAAATATATATTTTATTGATTTTTTACAGAGAGGAAGGGAGAGAGATAGAGAGCTAGAAATGTCAATGAGAGAGTAACATTGACCAGCTGCCTCTTGCACACCCCCTACTGGGGATGTGCCCGCAACCAAGGTACATGCCCTTGACCGGAATCGAACCCGGGACCCTTCAGTCCGCAGATGGAGGCTCTACCACTGAGCCAAACCGGTTTCGGCGATACTTGCCCTTTTCCAGAATAGAATCCGGAATCCTTCAGTCCACAGGCCGATGCTCTATCCCCTGAGCCAAACTGGCTAGAGCAGCAGTGTGGCTATTTGATGACCATATTTTCAGTTAAGGAACTGAAGGTTTTTACTGAGACATAAATGGCACTTCTGGAAGTCTGGGTATCAAGGATATACAAAGTCCCCATGCTCAGTGCTCTCATGTTGGAGCTGGGGAGACAGCACACCCAAATGAAGTTACTAAGAAATGAGATTGCAGTCATTCCTCAGAAGTACGGAGAGCTCACTGCACATTTCAAGAAGTAACATGTGGGGAGGGAGACTGCTTAAGAGTCACCTGGGACTCTATTAAATGTATGATTCGTGGGCCACAGCCCTGGAGAATCTGATGTAGTAGACTTGAAGTAGAACCCAGGAATCTGTTTTCTTAACAGGTTGCCCCAGATTAATAAGAACCAGATGGGATCAATCAGGTTAGATTTTTTTGGGTTGACTTGGAAACCTACATTTAAAAAAAAAAAAAATTGGACTAGAGGCCCGATGCACAAAATTCACACAACAGTAGGCCTTCCTTCCCCTGGCTGCCGGCACCAGCTTCCCTCTGGCACCCGGGACCGGGCTTCCCTCATAGCCCCAGCTTTGTCCGGAAGGACATCCGGTCTAATTAGCATATTATGCTTTTATTATTATAGATTAGAACTGGTTCATTCATAACACTTTCAATTCATTTTGGAAACTTTGTTGAATTTCCAAAAGAGCCTCAGACCCAGGATCTCCTCCATCAGGGAGCTCTCTGGTTTCTGGCCCAGCCTGAGAACGCAGGAACTTTGGGAAGTGCTGGCTCACAGTGTAACTCCCTGCTCCTTTGCTGATACTGAATCCTATATCTAGAAGGCTCTGGAGGGCAGGAAGGTTCTGGAGGGCAGGCAGGTAGCCTAGGCAATCTTTGGGCTGAGGGCATTCATCAAAGAAGGTTGGCAAGTTTTCCTTTTTTTTTTTTTTTTTTTTTTAATATATTTTATTGATTTTTTTACAGAGAGAAAGAGAGAGGGATAGAGAGTTAGAAACAGGGATAGAGAGAGAATCATAGATCAGCTGCCTCTTGCACACCCCCTACTGGGGATGTGCCCGCAACCAAGGTACGTGCCCTTGACTGGAATGGAACCCGGGACCTTTCAGTCCGCAGGCCCACGCTCTATCCATTGAGCCAAACCGGTTTCGGCAAGTTTTCCGTCTTGAAAGTGGATGGGATGAACTTCAAAAAATATTTTTTAATCCTCACCTGAAGATATGTTTTTATTTATTTATTTTTAATGCTTTTAGAGAGAGAGGGAGAGAAAGAGATAAACATCAATGCGAGAGAGAAACATTGATCGGTTGCCTTCCGTATGCACCCTGATAGGGGATTGAACCTAGTTATATGACCTGGCCAGGAATTGAACCCCAACCTTTTGGTGTATGGGACAATGTCCCAATCATCTGAGCCACCCAGCCAGGGTGAACGTGGATGTAATGAACTCTGTCAGTCTGGGGGCACCTCTGCTTCTGCTGGGGTCACAACCCTATCAGCAACTAGGCTTGAAATCTTCTCCCCCTATAACCAATCAGTCAAGTGCTGTGGATTCTACCTTCAAAATTTCTCTTCTACTCCATCCCTCCTTTCTCTTCTTACTACTCTAGGTCAGGCCCTTGGTAACTCTTGGCTTTATTACAGCAGATAGCCTTTGATTGCTACCTTCTTCCCTCCATTCCATTCATTCCCTTCATTGCCTCTGTAGTACCACTTGATCAATCCTCTTCTCAGTGCAGCTCACATCATACTTTTGCTCACAAGGTAGAATATAAATTCCTCAGAGAGAGTTCAAGGCCTCTTCATGACCTGGTCCCAAACCAGCTTTACTGTGCCATCTATTCATCTCCCGCCCCCTCCCCCCCAACAAAGGCAGCTCATACACCTCACAGGAGGTCTCCTCACTGCTCCTGAGCCTGTCTCCTTCAGACAGGTCTCCGATTCCTCCAGCCTGAAATTCTCAGCTCTTTAATCTTCAAGCACTTAGCAGCTTTATTAAAGAACTTACGCTGGTCTCTCTAATATTAAAGTTAGTAATTACATGTTTATCTCCCTCACACACGCACAGAACCAGATCACACACTGGGAAATCAGACTTAAGTATTATTTACTTTTGCATCTGTTACCCCCCCCCCCCATGCACAGAATGCCTAGCAAGACTAGCAAGACATCTGCACATGTATTGATTAAATAATTTTTAATCAAACTGGGAATTGCAAAATATTGTTGCTAATTAAGTCTATTTGCAAAACTTGCTTACTGATTCAACAAATATTTTTTAAGGGCCTGCTATATGCCAAGCACTATATAGGTTTCAACGTCATAAACACAGTAAGAATAGCTTACAGATTCAAGGTGAATGTCAGGAAATATTCCTAAGGCATAACTGTGAGATTATTTAATACCTAGTATATTGAGTTCTTACAAGTATATCTGAAAGGAGAAATGACCCCCAGTGAGATTCTACAGTTCCACAAAATAAGGTTCTCCCCTCCAGTAATATATGTGTCATGAAAATGGGTTTATGGACACGCAGGGAGGACATTCTATATTTGCTCTTTGCTCAGTTTCACTTAATCATTTCTCTCATCTCTCCCTTCTTTTTTTCCTGAGGTGGTGAGGAGAACTTGGTGAAAAACGTGCAAAACTAGAAAGACCTAGGGCTGCAGTTGATGGTCTTTTATTTATTTTTTTTAGTGTGAAGGTGGGAAAATGGAGCTAGAAGAGAATAAATCACTGTTCCCACCAGTCTTCATGGATCATGCCTCCTGCTTTTAGCAACAGCTCTTTCCCATTATTTTATTAAAGCCTCTCTTGCCTGGAAAGAGGAGTCTGACCTTTAACTTGCTATTCTGGGCTCATTCGGAGATGTTTCACATATCCATAATATTGTCGGTTGCTACAAAACGAATTCTCTTGATTCTCGGTGGCTGGACATTTCTGCCTCTCCTGGAAACAGTATCCAAGGAGCTGTCACTCTTCTTTCTCCCAAAGTGGTAGGTGGGTGTTTGGTATCACAGAAAGACTGTACCGTACATTGAGTACGAGTGAAAATGAAGGGAATTTATTTCCACCTGCTGCTTCTGCTCCCCAATGTCTTTGAAGCATACTTTCTAATGGACTGTTGTCATGGTCACTTGCTGTTTTTTCTCTTACAGTACCGGGATGCCCTTTACAAGTTCATGGTGGACACTGCTGTACTTTTGGGTGCTAATAGCTCCCGAGCAGAGCATGACATGAAGTCAGTGCTTAAATTGGAAATTAAGATAGCTGAGGTAAGACTTCATCTAAAATCTGTTTCTTTTCTTTTCTTCTTCTTTTTTGAAATATATATTTTATTGATTTTTTACAGAGAGGAAGGGAGAGAGATAGAGAGCTAGAAACGTCAATGAGAGAGAAACATCGACCAGCTGCCTCCTGCACACCCCCCACCGGGGATGTGCCTGCAACCAATGTACATGCCCTTGACCAGAATCGAACCTGGGACCCCTCAGTCCGCAGACCGACGCTCTACCACTGAGCCAAACCGGCCTCGGCTCTGTTATTTTCTTTATTTTAAAGGCAGAATATCCTGAATGAAAAAAAAATTATATAATAGCATTCTGTGACATTGTCCTTTGAGTCTAAGGTATAACTAATAGCACCTCCTTTGGGAAGTCTCAGCTATGACTAAAGACCCTCTGGCTATATTTTCCCAGAGAAACTCCTGTATGGCTCCAATAGAATAATAGTTATTTAATGAATCCTTATTGATTTGGTTTGAGTGGATGGTATCTTAATATATATATATATATATATATATATATATATATATATATATATATATATATATATATTGATTTCAGAGAGGAAGGGAGAGGGAAAGAGAGATAGAAACATCAATGATGAGAATCATTGATTGGCTGCCTCCTGCACCCTCCCTCCCCCACTGGGGATCAAGCCCGAAACCTAGGCATGTGACCTTGACTGGAATCAAACCTAGGACCCTTAGCCCGCAGGTCGATACTCTATCCACCGAGCCAAACTGGCTAGGGCTGGAAGGTAATTTTTAATCTAACCTACTCTTTTCCCCATTGCCACTCAGGGTCAGTGTGACCTGAGATAGGGACTTAGAGAAGTCTGTCCCACCATACTGGATACCCAGATTTGATGTAGAAGTGTATAGGGTGAGCATTTTTAGCTGCCTTTCTGGTACTACTTTGTATCCAGCCCTGTTTTTTTTTATTCTTTTCTTGCCCTGCTTTAATGAATGAATCTCATGTGTCATACATTATGTTCTGTGTAGGTCATCTTAAATTCTTCCAGGCTAATGCTGGGAACAAAAAGATATAAGAACCAACTTATGGGAGAGTCAGAAATCCTAAATGGTTAGCTTTCTTTATAGAATAACTTTTTTTCCCCTAGAAGAACCAAAGTGTAAAACCCCTATACATTCCCAAGACCAGAAAGAACAAGTGTTGTGAGACCTGCTTATTGGGATGCTTCGCATGGGGGAAAAAACTTTTGGCAAGAAACACATATATGGGTTGGTAGTCTTTTAAAACACGTTGTTAAAAATCCTAAAGTTCATGTGACTCCAGGTGTCGCTTGGTTTGTGTTTGGTGCAGTGTGGTGGGATGTTGAGGCACAGAGTTGGGGTGGTGGATGAGGGCGAGGAGGAATTAGTCTTTCTCTCTGCAGCAGTGATGCGTGTGTGGACTCTCTCCAAACTGGTGCTTGCAGCACGAAAGGTCCATTCCCTTTGAAGACTGTGTGATGAAGGTCACTGCAGATGTTCTGAGCCAAAGGCTGTGCCTCTAAAAGCTGTCTGGATTCCCTGCCTAGGCAAACAGCAGACCCAGAGCTCTCATTTGGCCTGAAGCTCTGATCCATCGGGGAAGGCCTTGCTCTGAGCCAGGGATTTAGACCAAAAAGGGAACTAGAAACAGCTGGGCCGAGGCAAGACTGGGAATTGTCCAGAGGCTAAATGAAGTGACAAATCCACAGGATGGGGAGAAAGCTAGCAGAGCGCTCAAAACAGCTTTGAGGCCAGAGGGCTCCAACCTGGGGCTGTAAGCCTGAGCAAAGGGAGGAGTGGCCAGCCTCTGAGGCAATGATCCAAACAAAGCCGGGAAGATGTTTGTGAGACACGTGAAGTCTCTCCTGTGGAGGGTGATGAGGGAGAAGCTAAGGGCAGTGAGTCATTTAGAAAAGAGAGGGCAGATGTCTCCCACTCAGCCCTCTGTGTCTTTGCCTGGAAAAACCCATGGCACGTGACTTTTGGCATGCTAGTAATGCTCACCTCCGTCTCTTACACCCCGGGTCACTGGGGACATTCAAAATCAGTGGGAAATAGAGATCTAGGGAAACTTCTGAAGCCCCCCTTGGGTGGCAGGGGAGCTTAGTCCCGCACAAATAAGTCATTTTAAATACAGCCATGGAAGCGTGCATTTGACCAATCCCAGCTAGAGGTGTGTGCACCAGGGGAGGTCTTAGTGATGGAGTGGCCCCTGCGATTGGAGCCAAGTGGAGTTTAATGGCAAGATTTGACAGAGGAAATGAATCTAGGCAAAGTCTGTAATCATAGTGCAAACCCTGGACGAGGTGGTTGTGGATGGGGGTGTAAGGGTTAGGAGAGTCCTGTGGGAGGTGGTAAGTGGCAATTTAAAATAAAAATTTTTATTGATTTTTTACAGAGAGGAAGAGAGAGTTATTTAGAAATATCAATGAGAAACATTGATCAGCTGCCTCTTGCACACCCCCTACTGGGGATGTGCCTGCAACCAAGGTACATGCCCTTGACCGGAATAGAACCTGGGACCCTTCAGTCTGCAGGCTGACGCTCTATCCACTGAGCCAAACCAGTTTCAGCAACAAGTTTAATGCAAAGGAACCAGATGATGTGACTCAGTATGGGGAGCTACTGCCTATTCATGGACATGATTAGGATGCCCCATGAGGAAGTGATCATCGCTGCTCTTCTTAGATTAAACATGGCGAAGGCTAGCAGCTTCAGTTTGTTTTGATATTGGCAAAGTGGCAAGGGCATGCATATTGGGAACGGAAAGAGTGTGCAGAGTCTGGGCTGGAGATGCAGACTTGGAAATGTGTATCAGGATGGTGAGACCAGCAGTGGGGCCTGGGGAATCTCAAAGCCAGGGAAACCAGAGCGAAGAGGGAAGTGAGGGGATGAGCTGCTGACAGAATGATCACAGGAGGCACTGGTATCCAGATAGTTCAGTGTTCTCCGGTGAAAATGTGGCCCTAGGGTGAAGGATGGTCTGCGGCTCCTGACACACTGAGCTCATTATCGGGACACCACAGGTGAAGGTAAGGTGTTTGTCTCAATGGACTGTGGTGTCAAAACTGGGCCAATAATAGATTTTGTCCATCCATATTGTAGGTGCGGAGGGGATTCTGGGTAGTTACATTTGTACTGAGGACAATGTTTCCCAGTGAACAGGACAGGAAGTTTCTTTTTATTAATTTTGCCTAAAGTGATGTCTTTTTTCCCCTCTCCCAAGTTCAGCGCCACACCAAAATCTCGAAAAACCGTATGATACTCTGCAGATGTTTGCGCACATGTAGAAGGTGTCATGCAGTAAGAAACTGTTCCTTTGAAAACAATAACCAAAGTCTCCTTCCAACAGATAATGATTCCACATGAAAACCGAACCAGCGAGGCCATGTACAACAAAATGAACATTTCCCAGCTGAGTGCCATGATCCCCCAGGTTGGTGAAAACAATCCAGGCAATTTTATTTTAACTGGTTAGCTTACCAGTGAGTGTATTTGATCTGTATGTACATTTTTGCCTTGTCAAGCCTACTACCAGTCGTTTTGATTATCATCATCTTTATCCATTATCACATGCACTATCTCTTCTGTGCATCAGGATGCTTTCTGCTCTTGGGACAGAAAACCTGTCCAAGATGGCTTAAAAAGGTATAGCCCATTTTGCTACATGACAGAAGTTCAGACATAGGTGGCTACTGGTGTTGGTTTAGCTGCTTAACAATGTTGTCAAAGGCCCAAATTCTTTCCTTCCACTCTGTTCTCTTTAGTGTTTTGGCTTTTGACTTCATGTGTGATGACTCAAGCATGCAAGGTGGCTACCACAGGTTCATATATCACATCTGCCATCAGGGCAGGAAGAAGAGGGAGAGACAGTGAAGGCCATATCTAATTCTTTTATCAGGAAAACCCAAAATCTTTCTAGAATATTCCCAGGTGTCTTCCTTTTGTTTCTTACTGAGTAGAATTGGGGCTTGTATGTGGCCATCCCTACCCAGAGGAATGGCTGGGCCTGTGAGGAGCCGGTTTTTCATTTCAATAGTGGAGGCAAGCAAGGGAGGGGCCAATGCAAACAGCAAGATAGTGATGCTCTGAAGAGGGGATGTTACATTTTGTTGCTGCTTTGCTTCTCCTGTGAAAGAAAGGTTGTATTAGACAGAAGACCAGTAATGTCCTAGGGCATTTCTGTCTTTGTTGACATGACAGTGAGTATGGGAGTCAGGGAGAGTGCAGGGGGGAAAGGGAGGAGAGAAGGAGGGGAGAGAGGGAGCATAGAATGAGGGGGAAGTACAGGATGGGGGGAGAGGAAATGAAGGAAAGGAGAGTTGAGGAGGGAGGGGCAGAGAGAACTGGAGGGGCCAGTAGAGGGAGCATGGGTATTACCAGGTGTGTGTATGTGTTGTCCATATGCGGATGGAACACATGCTCATTTATGATGCAAGCAGTAGGTCTGGATGGCAGTGATTGGGCATTTGTTTTCTAGATTGAGCAGTTACATCTTTAATTAATTGGTTTGAAATCACCAGCAATGGATTACGTTAAACTGATGATATTTGCCTTGTTGTCTAGCAAGAGATATTTTTCACTCTGGGTTTTTCTCTTACTCCTCAGTTTGACTGGCTGGGCTACATCAAGAAGGTCATCGATACCAGACTCTACCCTGACCTGAAGGACATCGGCCCCTCCGAGAACGTGGTGGTTCGTGTCCCGCAGTACTTTAAGGATCTGTTTAGGATACTGGGCTCTGAGAGGAAGAAGTAAGAGCTTCCTTGTGTATTTTACTGTGACTTTTGTTTTTCCTTGTACGTTTGAAGGCCTTACCTCTCACACCTTTTGAAAACTGTTTTAAATGAAAGTTGCATCAAAAGAGTCTTGGGGGAAATCACGGTACCCTATGTGACAAATTGGCCCAAACCATCGTCTGCTGTGATTTGCTTGCTGCAATGACAGCACACACACACAATGTTTTTGCTCCTTATTTCCAGTATTTCTCCATCTTTTCTCTCTGAAAATAATAATAATCATAATAATCTACCTAAATTATTTGTCAGTTTTGTGAACTAGTCATATAATAATGTTTTTGAGACTTCTATGTGAACATGTTTCCCCTCTCCCCCCAGGTAATTCTAGTCTATTGCTGCTCCCTCCAGCCCCCACTGTTTCTTCTTAGCCAGTGAGTCACTTTGTGGCAGTAAACAGAAGTACCTATATTGAAAAGACATAAGATTATACCGAGAGCTGTAGAAAAATGCACTGATGAAAGAACTTTAGGAACTGCCAGGTTTTTCTTATTCGAAAGAAGGTTTTAGGATTTGTTGCGATGCTACTTTACTAGTGGCACTGCAAAACAAGAAAGACTGAAAAATGCCCAGGAAATTTTGCATCTTTATGAAGCCATTCAGATTTGACTACAGAAAATGAAGCACAGAAAGGTCAACTAGTTTAAAAAGACAAAGGCGAATTGCCAGGCCAGGATTAAAAAACAAACAAACAACACATATTTTCTTATTTGGACTTATACAAGGGGTTATTATTATTATTATTATTATTTTTAAAAAAGGCACCTGCAAAAGTTCAAGGAATAAAATTCAGCAGCCATCCCCACCTACGGAAGGACACCTTTGAAGAACTGTATTCTTTTTAAGATGATATATTCTTATGGAAAAAGCAGTGTGTGTCTATTGAGGAAAACATGCAGGACAGTAAACATACAGAGAAGGGAGAGAAGGGACAACAAATTCACCTAAAATTCTACCAGAGATAAGCAGTGATTCTTTGAAAATTCTCTAAGCAAAAATTAATCTAGAAGGAAATAGTATTTGTGTGGGGTAGAGCCTTGCTATTCAAACTGTGCTCCATGGACCAGTAATGCCAGCAGCCTGTGGCAGAAATATAGATTCCAAGGCCCCTCCTCCAAAGAGGCTATAAAGTAGATGGAGTGAGGCCCAGGAATCTGTATTTTAAAAAGCAACCGAAGAAAGTCTTACACTTATATTTTTGGGGAGGAACTCACTACATTAGAATACTTATTCATATGTGCTTCCTAGCTCTGAAACACTATGAAATACGATCGAAATGATTTTCTACTCCTATGCCATTGAGTTATTGGGCACATTTTAAATTTTTGGTGGTAACTTGCATTGAAAGGTGGAGTTTACCATGCTATATATGTATTCTTCAGATTAGTAGGTGCTTTAGGAAATGAATTTTATTTCCAAAAGAGCCCAACTTATAACAACATGATAGATTGGGCCTTGGCTTACTGTATTAGAAAAATCATCTCTGTGGTGATGGTGATACTTTAGAACTGCAGGACTTGTTATAACAAAAGGGACCAAGAAAGACCATGAGTAGAGGGAGATTTTAATCTTCTTATCAAAATGATAACTTGATGTAAATGTAGTGAATAGCATTGGAAGAATACACATGAGTGGCCATATTATTATGATTTCTGAGCACATAATAATTTGGCCACTTAATATTTTTTTAGAGGCCCGGTGCATGAATTCGTGTATGGGTGAGGTCTGGCCAGCCTGGACAGGGGGAGGGGACATGGGCAGTTGGCCAGCCTGCCTGCTGGTCGAACACCTGGCTGAGGGGACAATTTGCATATTAGCCTTTTATTATATAGGATATACACTAAGTGGCCAGATTGTTATGTGTTCTGAGGTCATAATAATCTGGCCACTCAGTATATATAGATAAAAAAAATTACAGATAATATATCCATGATATAAAATGACCTCTAGACATTACGAAACTTCAGTTTTAAAGACAGAAAGCATCTCTTTCACATAATTTAAGCCTCAAAAACCAATTTATCTAAAACAACTTGTATTTTATATATTCTTAAGAGATTTCAAAACACTTTACATATGGAAAAGATTAGTACTTTATTTGCACATCACAGTGCATTTTTATACTGCTAAACATATTTGATCTTTACTTGTGTTGTATTCCAATCCAGGAAATAGCCCCTTGGGTCCTCACAGTTATACATTAGTCAGGACATGCCAATTGCCAAAATAGGTACCTCTAAACTCTCATTGGCTTGCACAATGAAAACTATACTCTTGGCTCATGGAACAGTCCAACATGGGTGTCCCTATAAGATGGCTTTCTTCTAAGTAGTGAGTCGAGAACCCAGGCTCTTCCTCCTTGTGACTGCCCTTCTCTGGGTGTTTGGAATCTTCTCCATTCAGCTGATAGGTGGGGAAAGAGAGGGTAGAAGATTGCAAGGAAGTGTTTGTGGTAAAGCCTAAAAGTGGTGCATATCCCTTCTATCCTTATGTCATTGGTCAGAACACAGTCATAGAACCCATTTAGCTGCAGAAGAAGCTGGGAAGTATAGTTAAGGCATGTGCCCAGGAGCAAAATACCACATAAATGATCTAATTTTCTTGAAATGATATTTTCTTGTTTGTTCCACCTTGCTCCCAAATGACTCGGTGAGCACCTGATGGTGGGCACTCTTGTATAATAAGTCTTCACTTTAATGTCATCAATAGGTTCTATGACTTTAAGTGAAATGATATATAATGAAACCAGTTTTACCATGGGCTAATTTAAAAAATGTGTATTTTTATTGATTTCAGAGAGGAAGGGAGAGGGAGAGAGATACAGAAACATCAATGATGAGAGACAATCATTGATTGGTTGCCTCCTGCATGCCCCCTACTGGGGATCAAGCCCACAACCTGGGAAAGTGCTCTTGACCTGAATCAAATTCGGGACCCTTCAGTCCGCAGGCTGATGGTCTGTCTACTGAGCCAAACCAGGTAGGGCCACCCCATAGGCTAATTGATATGAGTTAACTTCCTATAGCATCTCATCAAGGTTGTAATAAGACAGTGTTATTTGAGGATCTGCTGTAATTGCTTTTGTAACTTCAAGGCCTAGCACAATGCTTCTCATAATAGATACTTCGTAAAAATTTCTAGAAAATGACCAGATGCCCCAATCACCAGTATCCAGGAGGTGATATGTAAGCAGAACCGCAGAGGATAAGGAGGAGTTTTCCAGATAGAGGAGCGTGGAAAAAGGATGTTGCATATGTTCAGTGATGGGACTAGCATGTTGCCTTCGAAGCAGGACTCCAGAGAGCTGGGAAGGCCTTGAGGGGTTGGTTTGGGCTCAGGATGTATAAAGGAAAGGTTTTTAGCATCTTCTCCCTTCTCCCCTAGAGGTACCTTTGAAGAAACAGCCAATCCTTCTCAAGTTGGGTGTCTCCGCTGTGCCTCTGTTCTGAGAATCTGCCAGTGAAAATCACACATGGGTCATGATGATGTTAACCACCATTAAGACTAACAGTTACCTGAAAAGAACTATATATTGTTTCTGTTGTGCAGATGAGGAAGCAAAGGTTAAGTGACCTGCCTAAGGACACACCTCTTAGAGGGAGCAGACCTGAGATTCTAACTCTGTGACCCTTACTTCTATGTCCTGTCTCTTTTGCATACATGTCTCTGTATGGAAATGAGACACCTTTCAGATACTTCCCTGTTAGTGTGGAGACAGACAACTCCCCTTTAATTTGCAGGACTACCAAACCATGTAGGGTTGGTATTAGCTGCTCATTTCTTGACGGCTTCATACCCTCTTATATCACGTCTCCTGCCAGCCTGGTGGGGTTAGGACTCTCTTTCGGACTGAATGGCTTTGGGGATGGAGGCACTGACTCTGAAAATTGGTTCATGGTACAAATCTAGAGCAGTGAGATCCCCCAGAGGTTGTTCCAGAAACTGTTGGCCCTTGAGGGACAAGGAATTAGGTGGCCAGGGCAGGGCCATTTGAGGGCTTGGCATGGAGGCTGCCTATAGGGAAATGGAGTCAGAGTTCAAGGTGGAAAGAGGGTGTGAAGATGCAGTGATGTGCTGGGTCTCTCAGGTTTTGGGCATGTCTTTCCAACTCTATATGGAGTGACATCACATAAATAGTTTGAAATAAACTCTAATTTCTGATATGGCTGAGCATTAGGTGACAGTATAATTCAGTCATTACGGTCAGATCTGCTCCTGGCTTGGGAATATTGACAACCTGGAAGTTGGCAAATGCTACAGATCAAGTTTTTCTTGGCAAGCCAGTTGTCTAGAACATCTCTGGGTGATGGGTGCTGCGGATTTCCATCCCTTTCTGCCTCCCTTCAGTTCTCCCACCCACTCCTGACTGAAGGCTGTCTTAGATTCCATCTAATTTGGTCTGAGGAGCTAGAATGGGAGGGGGAGGCTGAGGAAAGGTGGGATCAGAGAAATCTGACTTGGGATCTTCTGTGTGCGCGCACACCCGTACTTCAGCAGTCCGGCCTAAAGCAGACCCTGGGAGCTTTTGCCAACCGTCTGTGATCTTTTCTGTCCTCAATTTTATTTTCATATAAAGCATGCACAGCATACATTCAAGTGAGATGACTCTCGTTGGACAGGAACTCCTAGAGGCTTCCCGGGGAGATGTGCTGATCCGAGGACCTCTTACAGGGTTCAGCAATGCTGCTGGTGATCTAGGGCCTCGCTGTTCAAAATATGGCCCAACGAGAGCAATATTGGCCTCTGCTGAGAGCATGTCAGGAATGCAGAATCTGAGATTTCGAAAGTCCTAGTTTAGCTGTGTGTGCGGAAAGATGAGGAGATGGAGTTTTCCTAGACCAGTGCTTCTCAAACCTGACAATCAGCAGAATATCCCCGGAGGGCTCGTTAAAGCATACTGCTGAGCCCCACCCACAGTTTCTGAGTCCGTTGCAGGCCCAGAATTTTTTTTTTTTTTT